CAGACCGATGCTCCAACCACTGAGCCAAACTGGCCTCAGCTACTGTAGTCTTTTTAAAACACATACACACACACACACACACACACACACACACACACACACAAAACCTTAGCTTGGAAAAAATAATTTTTGTTGAACTTATTAATTGGATTTTGCTTTCTAACAACTTTTGTAAATAATTTTTTTTTTAGAAATTCTTCTTGAATTATTTTTGTAACACGTTGAAACTCCCAAATTCTTGTTTTGGAAACGCTGTGCCATGCATCTAATTTCTATCATGAATGTTGCATAGTACTTTCATTTTTAAGAGGTAACATTGCCATCTTGTGGTTTTCTAGAATATTGTTGTTGAGGATTTAGATTTTGTTTTCATAACAGGGGCTAGGTTACATAATACTTTGGGACTCCATCTGGTCTGCAGGTGGGGATTCCCATTCTAATGTGGAGTAAAATAGCAAACTACATGTAGAACACAATGTGCAGCAGAAAATAAAGTGTCCAAGATACAAATACAAGAGTGTAAATAGCTGTGCATTCGAGTGGCAGGATTAGGGGTGATTTACTACTGTTTTGTTCAGATATTAGCAACATACAAAATATCTCTGCCCCTCTCCTTTGATAAAGAAACCAAGCCCACGAGTGCGAAATCTGTTTATGATGTATTAAACTGGTTTTTATTCAAGTGACTCTGGGGACCGGAGTCATACCTATAAGGATTTTTTTTAAACAGCTTCATTTGGATATGATTTATATACCACACAGTTCCCCCATCTAAAGTGTACAATTCAATGTTTTGAGTGTATTCGCAGTGGTGTGGAATACAACCATCACTACAGTCCATTTTACATTTTCATTACCCACGAAAGAACCCCCACACTCTTTAGCATCATTCCCTGATTCCTCCTCTATGTTCTATGAAACCACTAATCTGCTTTCTGTCTCTATGGATTTGTCTTTTCTGGACATTTCATATGAATGAATCACACAGTATGTGACCTTTTGTGGCAGGCTTTTTTCACGGAGCAGCATGTTTTCAAGGTTCATCCACATTGAAATATGTGTCAGAACTGTGTTCCTTTATTGCGGAATAAGTTCCGTCGTACAGATAGACCACATACGGGCATGAGCAAGTGTTTCAGAGGGAGAACATGGTTTATGGATGGAGCGAGCCAGTGCCGGTCCGCATGGTGACCAGGGCGGAGAATGGTGTCTGCAGAGTTCAGGGGCAGCCACCAGATGACCAGGGTGAAAAGGAAGGGGTATGTGGCTGTTCTTGCAAAATGAAGTCATTAATTTTGGTTCATGTTTTAAGGAGGGGGTTTTGTCAGGTTTTGTTTTAGGACACAGGAGCCCTAAAAACCTTGATCATCCAAATGCAAAGAACCAGCAGAGACAGAGACTTGGTGACCGGAGAGAGCAGAACATGATGGTGGAGAAAGGGCCCTCGGGGGGAGGGAGATGTGCCCAAGGGATGGAGACACTTCATCTTCTAAACCAGGATAAAACGGGTGTGTCCTCCTTTTCCAGAAAGTGAGGACTGATGAGAGCTTGTGAAGATCTCTCTCCCAAATGGATAAATTGTGAAACAGATAAAGTTGTAAAATTCTGAATCATGGAGGGATACCTTTATTTAATCAGATATTAGGTAAACGGGGCATTACTGCATATAATTTGTTACAGATTTATTTATTTATTTTGGCATGTGTGGTCAAATATACACACAAAAAAACCTACAGCTTAAATCATTTAAAAGTGTACAGTTCAGCCGAAACCGGTTTGGCTCAGTGGATAGAGCGTCGGTCTGCGGACTGAAAGGTTCCAGGTTCGATTCCGGTCAAGGGCATGTACCTTGGTTGGGGGCACATCCCCGGTAGGGGTTGTGCAAGAGGCAGCTGATTGATGTTTCTCTTTCATCGATGTTTCTAACTCTCTATCCCTCTCTCTTCCTCTCTGTAAAAAAAAAATAAAAAAATATATATATACACATATATATATATATATATATATGTATATATATATATAAGTGTACAGTTCAGTGCATAAAGTACTTTCACAATGTTGTGCAGCCATAACCACCATCCATCTCTGTATCATCTCAAACATCATCCAGTATCCGTTACACAACCCTCCCATCCCCTATCTCCCCACCCCTGTCAACCGCCATTTGACTTTCTCTATCTCTCTCTCTCTTTTTAGTTGGTATATTTGATTTACCCAAATATAATTATTTATCTTCTGGTTTGTTGAAGCAATAGGTCAGACAGCATTTGCTACAATAATGTCTGTCCAAGTATCTGTCATAAAAACTCCAGCAAAAGATCTGATTTTACCATTCTTGTCCACTGTGTAGTATTTCAGGACAGCCAGCTTAACCTTCTTTTTCTTACACTTATTCTTCTTGGGGGTGGCGTAAGACTTCTTCCTTTTCTAAGCAGCACCATAAAGTTTCAACACAAGGTGAAGAGTGGACTCACTGAATGCTGTAGTCAGACAATGAACATCCGCCCTCCAGTTAGTTGCTTACCAGTCTTTGCTGACCAGGAGGAATTCCTTCCTCATCCTAGTTCTTTAATTTTCTGTTGTATCCAAGGGTTTAACCTTAAAGGTGATGGTCTTACCCATTAGGATTTTCACAAAAATATTTATATTGGCAAGGATTCCACCACAGATAGCAGATCAGCATTTTATTTTCTGACTCTGTAAACTTTCATCATTCTAGCTACATCATATACTAATAAGTGGAATCATATAATATTTTTCCTTTTTTGATTGGCTTATTTCATGTTAGACGTTTTCAATATGTAATTCTCATTTGCTATCCTTTATACTAGGGGTGTCGAACTCAATCAGAGAAGGGGCCAAAATCTAAAATCCAGCCTAAATCGCGGGCCGAATGGTTTACTGAACAGTCATAAACTGTCATTGTGATGGAAACGCAGCGGAGTGCAGTGATGACAGCGCGGTGCGGGCCACATTGCAAGGCCTGGCGGGACGGATTTGGCCCGCGGGCCTTGTGTTTGACACATGTGCTTTATACTTAATATTTTTGTTCCTTTCACTGGATTACCAGCCCTTTAATGCAATCATCTGAGGGATTTAGCGTTTTTGTAGCATGGCACCTGGAGTTCAAAAGCGCTTTGATGTCAGATATTTCAGAACCATTAGTGTTATTCATCAAAAAGCTAAAATCCATGAGGTTCAGTCACTTGCCAAGAACTGCTGTGTAATAAATGATCTCTGATCTTACTAGCTTAAATAACAGTAGTTTATTGTTGATCAGGTAACAGATAAAACTGTAAAATTCTGGATCATGGGGTGGCCGGGCTGGGCCTATACTGGTTTTCTCAGGCACCTTCATATGCTTGTACCAACTGGAGGGCAGGTGGGCTGAGCAGTGCAAGATGGTCTTCCCCGTTCCTGGCAGTGCCCCTGTCCCTGCATGTGGCCTCCCCTACCGCATCCTTCCCCACCAGCCTCAGGGCCATTGTCCCCGGAGGGCAAGGCTTTCCACCCCCACAGTGAGTGCCTGGCACACTCAGGTTACACGACGAGGATCAATCTGGGCCGGAGGCCAGTCCAGATTCAAGACCACAGTGCAAAGGGCCTGCATAGCTTTCCGGGAGAATTTGTGGTCATTAAACAACCTACAGTGTAAGGGCCTTTAATGGTTGGGAATGGGAACCGTCTATCAATCCAATTAAATTCTGGTCCTTGGAGGCCTTTCCACGGCCCGATGGTCAGCCGTGGCTCAAGGTCTTTTGTCTTCCATTTCCTCTGGGACGCGAGGCCCTGGATTGAAACCGCAGTTGGAGTTGAGAGGATTGCAGTGGCTCCATGACAACGCGCTCGGTTCCACGGGAACGCGGGTCCTTGCCATGCCCCCCTCCCGCCCCCATTGGTCTTTGTTGTCATGTCCACCAGCTGGCCTGGAGGAGGGGGCTCGGCGGCTGATCCTCTGAGGCCCAGGCGTCGGTGTGGGGGCTCCCTGCAGCCTCCCTCCATCCCCCTGTGTGGCGGGACCCCCTGCCCACCCTGGGGGACGTGCCTGCTGGCCGGGCAGTGCGCGCGCCGTCTGGGGCCGGGGTGTCTGCCGGCCTGTGGGGAGGCCGTAGGGGAGGGCACGGGGAGGATTTGGGGTTGGGGACCGGCCACTTCCGTTCAGGGACCGAGAGCTTGCGAGCCCTGGGGGCGGAGTGCGGGCGGAGGGACTCGCACGGGAGCCAATCACACGCAGCGGCGGCCTGTGGGCGGGGCCTCAACTGCCGCCAGGCCTGTTCCCGGGTCTCCGCCTCCCCCCTCCCCTCTCCCCTCCTTCCTCCCCCTTCTGTCCCCCTCCCCCCTCCCCCCCTCCCCCTCTTCTCCCGCCTCCCCCCTCCTCCCTCCTCCCCTCCCCCAGCGCCTGTGGGGTAGGATGGACAGGGCGGGAAAGGCCCACATGGGAGAACCGGAGATTGGCTTGTCTGGGAGGAGCTGGACCGGGAGACGGAGGGGTGAGGGTGACGCAGGTTAGGCAGGGACTCCTACCAGATGTCCTGGTTCCTGGAGGATGTTTTCCTGGGTCCCGCCCATCCGGACCGGGCTTTGCTGCTGCCGAGGCTGGGCAAGCATGTAGCTTTGGGAAGCCCTGGGGAATGCGGGGACTCTGTGTGTGTGTGTGTGTGTGTGTGTGTGTGTGTGTGTGTCCCGGCCCTCCACACACACACTTGGGGTGACCAGGGCTTGGGGAGCTAATGTGGGCACCCGCCCAGGGAACCTCCTAGTAGGAAAGGGGAACCAGGAGGGATTGGAACCACAGGACTCGGGGTGGGATGACCGCTCACAGTGGGGAAGCCGGAATGTGAGGCGAGGCGGCAGTCTTGTTTCTGGACTGAAATGGGAAAGACCCACAAGGTGCCCACCACCCAATGCCCCGAGAAGACAGAGAGACCACCCTCCCTGATGTCCCTCTGCGGGTCTCCAGGACACCCCGGTCCCATCGTCCATTCTTTCTGCTTCTCCAGGCCAGCAGCCAGGGAGCCCTCAGTGACCACGGACCCTCCGGACAGCCACACAGCCGTCCCCGCCCCGCTGCGGCTGCGACAGAGCCAGCGCCAGCTCCAGCACAAGGTCGCTGCCTTCAGGGGGCCCTGGCCCCCCGCCTGGGGTGGGCACAGGATCCAGCTGTGAGTCCAGAGTCCTGCCTCTCAGGGCCAGGAGCGCTGTGGTCTGCAGAGCGTCAGGGCGAAGGGGCGCTGGCAACTCCGGGAAGGTCGGTGACCTGAGCTCATGTCCCCAGTGCTTGTCGCTGGTGCTGGGTGCTCAGGAACGCCAGTGGCTGTCATCCTGGACACGGTGTGCTGGGCGCCGTGGGAGTGGGCTCCCCAGCCGGCCTCCCAGCTCTGCGGCTCCCTGGCTGTGCTGGCCGCCCTGGCAGCTCCGTGCCCTCATCTGTAACCTGGGTCAGTGAGAATGGTGGACTTTCATAACATGGGGCGGGAGCTTAAATGGGGGGAAAAAAACATGAACACGGCGCCCTGTGGGCCTCAGTTCACAGTAACTCACAGTTACCAGTATCTTAGTGCCCAGACAGTCCCTCGCAAACCACCCTCCCTCCCCCCAGGAGCCTTGTATGTGGCACATCACACGTGGAGAAAGTGAGGTTTGGATGAGGGCGGTGACATACTCACTGTCGCCAAGGGAGGAACTGGCCAAGCAGAAGCACAGCCTGGGTTTCTCCAGCTCCCTTCGGGTCCTTGCCTAGCCTAGTGCCTCACTGCCCTGCCTGCCCCCCGATCCACTCCCCTGAGCCCAGGCCTCTCCGCTGACGGGGTTCTCCTCCTCCCTTAGGACAGACACCCTGGACTGCCGGCTTCCTCGCCTGGGACAGGGAGGAGAAATCCAACGACTCGGGCCTGAGTGTGGCCTGGAGGACGGGCCGTTGGTCCCAGAATGCCCCTGCCTGAGCCCAGCGAGCAGGAGAGTGAGAGGATGAAGACCGGCCAGGAGCCGTCCCCTGAGGCCGGCACAGATGCCGTCCCTGCAGACCCCACCGACCCCAACGACTCCAACGACTCCAACGAATACTTCAATCTGGTCCTGGTGACGATCTGCAGTGGGGACGAAAATGGCGTGGTCTCCCTGGCCAAAGACGTGCACATGACCCTGGAGATGCCTGGCCCCAACACCCTGGGCGGAGCCCTGCCGGCCGAGGAGCAGGGGGCGCCCGTCCAGCCAAGCCCCCAGGCCCTGGAGCAGAAACGCAGCCAGCCCGACACCGGTGAGCCCCCGGCCTGCTGACCCTGACTCTGCATGCTCAGGGAGGGGTGACTTTGCCGTCCCATCCCTGCCCCGAGCCAAGCCTCCTTGTCTTTAATTAAAACCTGTCCCCGGCTGGTATGTTCTTCATCCCTGTCCAACCTCACTCCCCCCAACCCTCACAGCCACGTACCCGGTGTCCTGTTTACTCCCCTCAGCTAACCCAGCCCTCCCCTTGCCCTCAGCGGCCCCCAAGCCCCTGGAGTTCCTGAGGACCCCGTTCGGGGGCCGCCTCCTGGTGCTGGACTCCTTCCTGTACAAGCAGGAGAAGGCCATGGGGGACAAGGTGTACTGGAAGTGCCGCGAGCACACGGAGCTGGGCTGCCGCGGCCGGGCCATCACCCGGGGCGGGCGGGCCACGGTGATGCGGGGCCACTGCCACGCCCCGGACGAGAAGAGCCTGGAGGCCCGGCGCCTGAAACAGAAGCTGCTGCGCCCGCCCGAAGGCCCGGCGGACCCCCAGGCTCCCGGGGGCCAGGGGGAGGAGCCCCTCACCGAGGCAGGCCCAGTGCCGGCCCCCGAGGAGCCGGAGGAGCCTGACCCTGAGCCGTACTTCTTGAATCGAAGCGTGACCCTGCTGACCTTGCCTCTCAGGAGTTTGCCTCTGAAGAAACGCCGACTACTGATGATTGGTGAGTGTCTCCCTGCCCCGACTCCACTCTGGGACAGGCATGCACTGGGGCCCTTTCTTATGCCCAAATAGAAATGTGAGGTCCTACACGCTTTATAGAATGTGTTCCAAGTTAAAACGACTTTTAAAAACATTCACGTGTCCCCATAGTCCTTAAGCTCATAGGATAGAAGCAGAGCTCCTAAACCAGTGGTCAGCAAACTCATTCATTAGTCAGCAGAGCCAAATATCAACAGCACAACGATTGAAAGTTCTTTTGAGAGCCAAATTTTTTAAACTTAAACTTCTTCTAACACCACTTCTTCAACATAGACTCGCCCAGGCCGTGGTATTTTGCGGAAGAGCCACACTCAAGGGCCCAAAGAGCCGCATGTGGCTTGCGAGCCACAGTTTGCCGACCACGGTCCTAAGCCAAGGCACCCAAGTCCGTGCAGAATTTCTGACATAGCAGGGTCCGGTATGAGGCCCGAATCATGAGTTTTAACGGGCTCCATGGGGTTCTGGCAACCCGGGCAGTTAGGGAAGGTCACCTGGTGGGAGAATGTTGAGCTCTGGGTCCCAAGTTCAAGTTCCAGCCCCATCTCATGTAGCTGGGTAGCCTCAGAACATTTGCTGAATTTCTGCAGTTTTGGGGCCTTTGTCCTAGGATGGATCATAGTCTAAATATCAGGGCGATTAGGTGTTTGACATGTGGGCAGTGCTCAGCACTGGCCCAGCATATGGTGGCTCTGAGGAACTTGTAGACGGAACTTTTGTGCAGTTTTTATTACCCACAACTCGGTGGTGGGCTTGGGCCCAAAGGCTGGGTGCCTCCTAACCTGGAAAGGCGTTAACTGCTGTTCAAACAACTGCTGTTCTGAGTCCCTGGGGCAGGGCGAGAGAGAGGGGCTTGTTTTTCATTGTGTATCTTATGGTACCATTTGTATTTTATGGCATGTGCAAGTATAAATCAAAAATTAGATAATATTGAAAAAAACAAGATGGTGGCCTAGGTAAGCGCCTAAACTGCCACCTCACACAACAATCTGAAAACAACAACTAAAAGACAGAACAGACATCATCCAGAACCACAGGAAAGCTGGCAGAGTGGAAAAATCTACAACTAGAAAGAAGGAAAGAGGCTCATGGATCAGGGGAGCCACAAAGCGCTGAGGTAGGGAGACGCATGCGCAGAGAGGAAGGGCAGCCGAGTGCCTGGCTGGTGAGAGGGGAAAGAAAGCCCCAGGCGAAACTCTGTGGACCCAGGCTCATATGGGTGGAATCTGGACTGTAGAGAAAGGCACATGGAGACTCAGAGACTGGGAGACTTTGGGGAGCTGGGAGCTGCAGTGGGCAGGGTCTAGAGTTGTGCGCGAGTGAGTGCGCACAGAGAGGTCACTGGAGTCTCTCCATAGTGGAAGGAGTCGGAACCTCCTGACTGCACTGAATCCCAGTTCCCACTGCACTGAGCACTAAAACCCAGTTCCGGACGAGCCCCTGGAGCACCCACACTCTTACAGGGGGAATCTGGACTGTCAGGTGGAAACTCAGGGGAGTGCAGAAGGCAGAAGTCTAAGGCGCATGCACAAGGGTAGGACTGGTGGGAAGCCAAGACTGTCAGTTCAGCCCTGAGATTCCGCTCCATCCAAGCTGAGCTCAGAGGCTTTTGCAATTTTGCAAGTCTGATCCTATAAGACTGTCTCCAATACAGAAGGTATCCTGGCGTAGACACAGCTGATAACATCCAGTTGGCCTGGAGGTCAATTCCTCCCAGTGATACCAACAACAATCAAAACTTAACTACAACAAGGCTGTATACTTAATCCACAGAGGGGAGCACCAAGAGTGTCTACCTCAGGTGACTGGGGAGGCTGACTCACCGGCCCATATAGGACACCAAACACACAAAACCACCCTACCAACTCAGGGAAGCAGTGAAAAATGCCGAGATAAGGAAACAGATCTCAAACAAAAGAAATGGAGGAGAACAAAAGACTGACTATAGAGTTCAAAACATGGTTATAAGGTTTTTTAAGAATTTCCTAGAAAAGGCCAATAAGTTTAATGAGACCCTCGAGGATATGAAAAAGGACCAACTAGAAATTAAACATACACTGACTGAAATAAAAAATACAGAGACCCAACAGCAGACTAGAAGATCGCAAGAATCAAGTAAAAGACACATCATAATTAAAATGCCAAGGGCAAAAGACTAAGAGAGAATTTTACAAGCAGCAAAAGAAAAACAGTTACCCATAAGGGAGCACCCATATGACTATCAGCTGAGTTTTCAACAGAAACTATGCAGGCCAGATGGGAGTGGCAAGAAATATTCAAAGAGATGAATAGCAAGAACCTACAACCAAGATTACTCTAACCAGCAAAGTTATCATTCAGAATTGAGGGCAAATAAAGAGCTTCACAGATAAGAAAAAGCTAAAGAAGTTCACCACCAAACCAGTATTATGTGAAATGTTGAAAGGTATTCTTTAAGAAGAGGAAGAAGAAGAAAAAAAGTAAAGATAAAAATTATGATCAGCAAATACATATATATCAACAAGTGAATCTAAAAGTCAAGTGAATCAAAAATCTGAGGAACAGAATAAACTGGTGAATATAATAGAATCAGGGGCAAAGAAAGGGAGTGGATTGATAATTATCATGGGGAAAGGGCTGTGGGGGGGTGCAGGAAGAGAATGGAATAAAATCGTACACCTATGAATGAGGACAATGGTGGGGGGAGGGTAAGGACAGAGGGTGGGGTGGGAACCAAGTGGAAGGGAGCTGGGGGGGAGGGAGAAACAGTTGTAATAATCTGAGCAATAAAGATTTATTAAATTTTTAAAAATTAGATGATATTTTCAAATAAACCCTAAGGAAAAGTATGGCCTGGAGTGAGTGAGGGCATAGGCTGTGGAGTCATGGCCAGCTTGGACCGCTGCCATCTTGGGCGTGTGATCTTGGTCGAGGCCGCCTCTCTGACCACCAGAAGAGGAACTGCAGTGCCCCCTTGAGTTGCTGGGTGGGGGTTCCGTGGGATGCATTTGGAGAGGACGCCTGGCCACACATTCCACTGGCAGCACTGCCTGACCACCCCGCTGACCCCTCTGACCCTGTGACCGCTGGTTCCTTCTCCACAGAGCGCCCGCCCTTCGAGTTCCTGAAGACCTGCTATGGGGGCAGCTTCCTGGTGCACAAGTCGTTCCTGTACAAGCGAGAGAAGGCGGTGGGAGACAAGGTGTACTGGACCTGCCGAGACCACGTGCTCCATGGCTGCCGCAGCCGGGCCATCACCCAGGGCCAGCGAGTGACCGTGATGCGTGGCCACTGCCATCCGCCCGACAAGGAGGCCCTGCAGGCCCGGCGGCAGCAGGAGAAGATCCTGGAGACACAGAGGCCCAGGCCCAGGCCCAGGGACAAGCTGCTCCAAGGGGTGGACAGCCTGCTGTACCACAGGGGGTCCGGCACCCTGACCCTCACCAGGCCCCGTCCCAAGAAGCACGCGAAGCCACAGGCCCTGCAGGAACCTCCCACCAGGGACCAGGAAAGGGGCCGGGGTGAGTCCTTCATGCCCACCGACCAGAGCTGGGCCCCCCTCACGTCCTGAGGGCCGGGGGGGATGGGAGCGGGGGGGAGGGGAGGGCAATCAGGCCTGGCTCAGTCTTGGCTGACCACCTACCCCATTTCTCATAAGGAGGCCCTGAGTTCCTGAGGACCCCTCTGGGGGGCAGCTTCCTGGTGCACGAGTCCTTCCTCTACAGGCGGGAGAAGGCCTCTGGCAACAAGGTGTACTGGACGTGCCGGGACCAGGCCCGCATGCGCTGCCGCAGCCGGGCCATCACGCAGGGCCAGAAGGTGACCGTGATGCGAGGCCACTGCCACCCGCCGGACCTGTCCGGCCTGGAGACCCTGAGGCAGCGGGAGAAGCGCCCTGGTGTCAGCCAGAGGGGGAACGCAGGTAAGAGATGGGAGCAGGCCTGGGACCGGCAGGGCTCAGCCAGCCTTTCCATTTGGGCCCTCGTGACCCTTAGTAAGCACACTCCGTACCTTACCAGGAGCCCTCTGGAAGGAGCACGGCCTCTCCCCTTGCTTTCCCCTTCCCTTGCCTCCACCCCTCCCCCCCCCCCTCCCACCTCACCACATTCCCTGGCCAGACTCACTCAGGTGGTAGTCCTTATCCTCCTGCTTAGACCAGGCCAAGCTGCCCCCAAATCTCCACAGCACATGATCAGCCCAGGCTTCCTTTCCTCTTCCTCCTCCCTTTTCTCTCTTAGAGTTCATAGAGGAGCCCTGGCTGGTTTGGCTCGGTGGATAGTGTCGGCCTTCGGACTGAAAGGTCCCAGGTTCGATTCCGGTCAAGGGAATGTGCCAGGGTCACAGTCTTGGTCCCCAGTAGGGAACGTGCAGGTGGCAGCTGATCAGTGATTCTCTCTCATCATTGATGTTTCTCCCTTCCTCTCTGAAATCAATAAAAATATATTTTAAAAAAGAATTTATAGCTAAAACTGGTTTGGCTCAGTGGATAGAGCGTCGGTCTGCAGACTGAAAGGTCCCAGCCAGGTTCGATTCTGGTCAAGGGCATGTACATTGGTTGCGGGCACGTCCCCGGTAGGGGGTTGCAGGAGGCAGCTGATAGATGTCTCTCTCTCATCGATGTTTCTAGCTCTCTATCTCTCTCCCTTCCTCTCTGTAAAAAATCAATAAAATATATATTTTAAAGAAAAAGAATTTATAGAGGAAGCTAATCATTCACTGCCAGTTTCTCACTTTTTTTTTTTTAATATATTTTATTGATTTTTTTACAGAGAGAAAGGGAGAGAGAGAGAGAGCTAGAAACGTCGATGAGAAACATCGACCAGCTGCCTCTTGCACACCCGCTAACGGGGATGTGCCCGCAACCAATGCACATGCCCTTGACCGGAATCGAACCTGGGACCTTTAAGTCCGCAGACCAACGCTCTACCACTGAGCCAAACCGGTTTCGGCCAGTTTCTCACTTTTATACTGTGATTGGATGATACAGTATTGAGTAATAAGCATATCCTACAGACCACCTGGTTTTTATGTAATTAACCAACTCCTCTCCTCCAGCTCTTCTCCATAAATACCTATCATCTGCCCTAAGGGAGCCATTGGCGAGGGTCACAGCCCCTCTCTTTCCATCTTTGTCCACTGGGCCAGCCCCAAAGGGCCTGTGTTTGGACTCTCGCAGGCATACACTGCAAATACGTAAATGTTCCCGTCCTCCTCTTGCTAAGAAGAGCAGCTTTGGCCCTGCCTTCTCTTACCCAGCTTTTCACTCCTGGGAGAGACACCTGCCTCTTTCAGAAGTTACCAGTTGTATCATTTCTGAATTAGGGACTTTTTGGCCCTAAAGTTCTCTCAGTTGAGATTTCTGATTGTATTTCTTTCTGACTCTTTCTTTTTATTCCATTTCCATGTAACTCCTGTGTACCTGGAGATGAGCTACAAGGCACATGGCAGCCCCACCCTACCCTCACTCCCAATCCCCACCCCAACTAATACTTCTGAGCTCTTCCCCTTGTTTCTTTTATATTTTATTGTTTTTTAGAGAGAGAGAAAGTGAGAGAGAGACATCAGTTGGCTGCCTCCCACTTGTGCCTGGCTAGGGATGAAACCTGCGAGCTGGGTATGCGCCCTGACTAGGAATTGAATCTGCCACCCCTTGGGTGTATTTGACAACACTTCAACCACTGAGCCACACCCGCCAGGCTACCCTATTTCTTCTTCAGTTTGCTGCTTCTTGAATCTCTGGTTGATTTCTAACAAGAGAGTGTTGGTAAAGAGAGAGAAGCATTCAGCTGTTACCTGCTGCCCCCATCCTTTCAGTGAGGTTACTGCAGTTTTTTGTTTCCACTTTATTATATAATATAAAGCTGTTCGCGCTGAGCTGGGGATTCGTTGCGATTGTTTCTTCCTCACACAGCTCTTCCTTTTCTGGGCAGTTGAGCATCTGCTTTATTTGTCCACCTAGTGTTCCGTGCCCATCACTCCTCTTCCTCACACATCTCTTCCTCGCCCGCAGCTGGCAGTCACTAGGCGTTTTGCTCCAGACTCACGGGGGCCCTGCCTGGGGTCCTGCCACCATCTCCCTGGGGTCCCCTAGCTGGACCCCATCGCTCAGTCTCTTCTTCTCTGGCTTGGCTCACCCCCTTGTCTTTGGAAGTCCCTCCTCTAGTGACTAGCCTGGCAAGTGTCCCTGGAGGCCGCACCTTGAGACCACATGTGTCTGAAGGGACCCTGATGGAGAGTGTGGCTGCTGGCAGAGCTCCAGGCTGTAAATCCTTCCTGGGTTACATGGTCTGTTACTGAGTGACCCACAGCTCTCTGAAGGGGTCCTCCCCATGCATGTGATGGGCCAGTGCCTGCAAGGAGGAGCCTCCCACCGGGTCTAAGACCGGCCGCCCCGTTCCCGGACGGGGGCGTGGAAATGAGTGAGAAGTGCCGCAGTCCCGCTGCAGACTGCCACTTCCTTCTCCCACCCCGAGAATTCCTCCTTCCCAGCGCTGACACCGTTACAGTTCTTCATACAAACAGCCCACACACAGGCCCACCTTCAGAGGAAGCCCAGCGCCCAGCCTTGGCCCCTGGACTGTTGTCAGTGGCTCCCCCTGCAGGCCGGTTTGCCCAGTCTGTGATCAAACGCCCCTGCCCCACCGCTTCCCCCAGCCTCTACCATTCTGTCAGCGTTTCTGCTCCGTGGCCTTCTCCTCCCCTTCCCCAATCTCTGTCCTGGTGCTCCTTCCTTCCTTAGAGCAGTGTTTTTCAACCTTTTTTGGGCAAAGGCACACTTGTTTCATGAAAAAAATCACGAGGCACACCACCATTAGAAAATGTTAAAAAATTTAACTCTGTGCCTATATTGACTATATATAAAGTAATTCTCTTGAATAGGAATCAAATAAACACAAAGAAAGTATTTTATAATTACTTTATTATGAAATATTAAATAAACAAAATAGTGAAAAATTATAAAATTCTTGTCTTGTCTGCACCTACGGCACACCAGGCAACATCTCGCGGCACACTAGTGTGCCGCGGAACAGCGGTTGAAAAACGCTGCCTTAGAGCACATTTTCGTCTGGTGCCAGAGGAACAGAAACATGCTCTGAGGTCACCTAGCCACATCCAGGCACCCCCACCCTCTCTCCAGGGCGTTCCCTGGTGGGGAAACAGGGGGTCTTCTCCAGCTCCTCTGCCTGGTCCCTGTCCCTGGACAGAGGGAAGGGAGCTCTCTGGGCAGAGGGTTTAGCTACCTCCGTCTCAACACATCCAACACGTTCACACTGTGGCTTACCTCCTCCTGCTGCCCTAGCATCAAGTCCCCACCTGGCCTGGCTCTCTGGAGAGTCGACTGCGTGTCACACTCTGCCTATTGTACTCTGATTACTTGTCCCCCCGAGTGGCCCTCCATTGTCCCTCGCCTCTGCAGGGACTGATGGCCAGTGTGCACCCATTGCAGCCCCTGGGATAAGCTAGGAGAGGGAGCAAAGATGCCCTTTCCTGGAGGCACCATGAGATGGAGGGACAGCCTCTGCCTTCAGGGGCCTCCACCTCACCAGCCTCTCCTCTCCCCTCCCGGCCAGGCTTTGGAAAGGGGCCCCTGGGAGCTGAGCCTGGCTGGGTTTGAGGCGGGTGGGGTGGGTGTCTGTGTCCTGGGCTCCGGGGCCCTCCAGCTGGGAGGAAGTGGGTACAGCTTGGGGTGGGGCTTGTGGAGGTCACTCCGTGAACCATGTTGACCTGGGTCTGAGAACAGGGCCCCTACCCTCCTCATTGCTCTGTTCCAAGGCCTGGGCTCCGGCCTCTCCCTCCCCTGACTGCTCCCCCCGTTTCTCCCCAGAAGACACTGAGTTCCTGAGGACCCCTCTGGGGGGCAGCTTCCTGGTGCACGAGTCCTTCATCTACAGGCGGGAGAAGGCCACAGGCGACAAGGTGTACTGGACGTGCCGGGACCAGGCCCGCCTGAGCTGCCGCAGCCGGGCCATCACGCAGGGCCAGCGGGTGATGGTGATGCGCAGACACTGCCACCCGCCGGACCTGGGGGGCCTGGAGGCCCTGAAGCAGCGGGAGCCGTTCCCCACCCAAGTCCCGCGTGAAGGCTCAGGTGTGGGCAGGCGCTGGGCCCTGGTCTCCCCCTGGCCTGGCAGCCTCTGGGCCAACCCCAAAACACAGGCTGAACTGCCTGCTAGGACCTCCCATCCACGGCCCATGTCCAGTGTGGTCCCGCCATGCATGTCAGTCTGTCCACCTGCTGAGTTCCCTGAGAGAAGAGGCTACATCTGGGTTCCTCGCTCATGTTGTAGGGCCCAGTCTGAGGTGGGCTGTCAGTAAGAGAAACCAGCTCAGACCACTGGAGGGATGCCAGTGGGCCAGGGTGGCAGTACTGTGCTCAGCACCCATGTGTGAGGCAATGTGCCTGCACCTTGGGGACCCTTTGTTTCCCCTCTCTGGGCCTCTCTTGTTTCTGTTTCTCTCTCTCTCTCTCCCTCTCTCTCTCTCTCTCTCTCTCTCTCTCTCTCTCTCTCTCTCTCTCTCCCCCCCTCCCCTCTCCCTCTCCCTCTCCCTCTCCCTCCCTCTCTCCAAACAACCCCCCCCCCCCATTCTCTTTGACCACCCAACCTCAACATGCATGACCTTTCAGCTAAGGTTCTTAAGAGTCTTAAGAGACAGGGAGTTGATTGGTTGCCAGCTGGCTAAAGGGAGGTGGACAGGGAGCTAGGAGGGCCCTGGTGCACAGGGTTCAGACCAGCCATGGGCCTCCCAGAATGTTCCAGCTCAGCCCCTCCAGAATGTTCCAGCTCAAGGCACTTGCCATCAAGTGTGGAGTCCAAGCCCAGTCAGGAGAGGCGAGCAGGAAACTCAGGATCTGGCCGGCTGCAGAGCCAGCCTCCCCGGGCAGCGCCGGAGCCCTTAGAGACAGCCCGTCCCACTAGAAGGGGTCCGCCCCGGCCCCTGCGCACAGACGGGCAGAGTGCAGGGGTCAGCGTGGCCCTGCAGGAGGATGACAGTTCCCAGGGCGCAGGCTGGTGGGAAAGAGGAAACAGCTTCCGTCTGGCACCCGGGCTCCTCTCCTTGTTTCCGAGGCCCGGCCCAGGCACCCTTCTCACCGCATGGCATTCCTTCTAGGACCCCCCCAGCCTCTGGAGTTCCTGAAGACGCCCCTCGGGGGCAAGTTCCTGGTGCACGAGTGCTTCCTCTACAGGAAGGAGAAGGCTGCCGGTGAGAAGGTGTACTGGATGTGCCGGGACCAGGCCCGGCTGGGCTGCCGCAGCCGGGCCATCACCCAGGACCAGCAGGTGACGGTGATGCGCGCCCACTGCCACATGCCTGACCTGGTGGGCCTGGAGGCCCTGAGGCGGCGCGAGCGGCTTCCCGCTGCAGCCCAGAAGGAGGACCCAGGTACCAATAGTGTGTGTGTGTGTGGGGGGGGGGGGGGTGCAGAAGGATTGAAAGCCCTGTGCGGTTTTGGTCTCTGCCAACCCAAAGTTCAGACACCTTGGGGGAGAGGCACTACCTGCCAGCGCCTTTCTGCCTTTCCAGAATTTTCTACCCTCTCTATTGGCTTCTTCTCCTGAACCTGAAAATACACCTAAATCTGTCCCGTCCTTACAAACTACAATTTTCTCTTTCTTTTATCAAAAGTGGTCTTAATTTTTTTTAAATATTTTTTTTTTTTTTTTTTTTTTTTTTTTTTTTTTTTTTTTTTTACAGAGAGGCAGAGAGAGGGATAGAGAGTTAGAAACATCGATGAGAGAGAATCATCGATCAGCTGCCTCTTGCACCCCCCACCGGGGATGTGCCCACAACCAAGGTACGTGCCCTTCACCAGAATCGAACCTGGAACCTTTCAGTCTGCAGGCCGACGCTCTATCCACTGAGCCAAACCGGTTTTGGTGAAAGAGGTCTTAATTTTTTACTGATTGAAAATCTGGTGAAAAAATAGAGACCACCCGGAAGAATGCACACACAGGCATGTAAACTTTCGCAAATAATGAACTGTGTAAACCAAAATGGGTTCTGTATACACAAACGGAATATAAAGCCAGTCTCTAGAAAGCAGTGTGAGTCTCAAATTAATTCATGTAAATATCTTATAAAAGACAGAAATGAACCCAAGTTCTATAAAATCACCAAAAGAAACTTGATTTCTACCTAAAACAAAAAAGGAGATTTCCAAGAGAAAGCCACAGTTAGGTTCAAACAGGAAGTAGACATTATGGAGTGCCTTTAGCATGGTGAGGGGTGGGTCATCTTTGATGTCTGGTTGGTTCCCAATTTCTTTGATGAGAAGGACTGCAGATTGTCTCTGAGAATCTCAAATAGCTTATTGCACTAGGCCCAAGTAATTTGGGGCTTCCCAATGACCCCCCTGGCTTTCATTATCCTCAAGGCGTTATCAGTACAAGGTGTGTGTCATTGGCTCTAGCACCTTCAACAAGAAAAAAAAAGATTAATCTGGCTTTTCAATTTTTTTCCTTAGAAAAGATAAAATTGCTGACTAAAGTTCAACTGCACTTCAAGAGTTACTCTTCTGAAAGCCAGCAGATTAATGGGTAATTATACTAGTTATCTAACGCTGTGTCACAAATTAACCCCAAACTTCAAGGCTTAAAATGACTGTCTCCCACTGTTTCCGTGGGTCATGATTTCAGGAGTGGCAGGGCTGGGTGGTTCTGGATCAGGTCTCTCACAGGCTGAAGAAGAGATGTCAGCCAGGGCTGCAGTCCTCCGAAGGCTCGAGTGGGGCTGGAGGAAGTCACTCCAAAATGGCCTGTTCACCTAAATGGCTGTGGGCTGGAGGACTCAGCTTCCCGCCATGTGGAGCCCTCCGGGGCCACTTGAATGTCCTCAAACAGGTCAGCTGTCTTCCCCCAAAGTGAGTGAGCAGAACAAGAAGAAAACTGCAACAATAGCAGAGTTCTTCTCAAACTCATATAGAACATTCTCCAGGATAGACTCCATAAATTTTAAAAGGTTTGAAATCATGCAAAGTGTGTCATCTGACCACAGTGGAGTGAAACCAGAAACCAGTAACTAGAAAGAAATGTGGGAAACTCACAAATATGTGAAAAGTAAACAATACACTCCCAAATAACCAATGATTCAAAGAAGAAATCACAAGGGAAATTAGAAAATACTTTGAAATAAACAAAATGTAGACACAGCATACTAAAACTTATGGGATACAACCAAGCAATGCTTAGAGGGAAATTTATAGCTATAAAATTTATATTAAAAAAGGAAAGCTCTCACCTCTATAACTTAAAGTTACATGTTAAATTACTGGAAAAAGAACAGAGTAGCCTGGCCAGCATGAGTCAGTCAGTAGTTGAGCATCAACCTACAAACCAGGGTACTTGCCCTGGTAACAGGCTCCACCCCAGGGAAGGGCATGCGGGACCAATGATTCTCTCTCATCATTGATGTCTCTCTCTCCCTCTCCTTTCCTCTCTGAAATCAATAAAAATATATTTAAAAACAAAAAAGAACACAGTAAACTAAAGAAAGTACAAGGAAATAATAAAGATAAGAATAGAAATTAAGCCCTTACTGGTTTGGCTCAGTGGATAGAGCATCGGCCTAACTGAAGGGTCCCAGGTTCGATTCTGGTCAAGGGCATGTACCTTGGTTGCGGGCACATCCCCAGTAGGTGGTGTGCAGGAGGCAATTAATTGATGTTTTTTTTCCTCATCAAAGTTTTCTAACTCTCTCTCCCTCTCCCTTTCTCTCTGTAAAAAATCAATTATATATATATATAAATAATTTATATATATATATAATAAATTATTTTATTTATATATATATATATATATATATATATATATATATATATATATATAAAATTAACTAAATCAAAACTTGATTCTTTGGGAGGATCAACAAAATTGACAAACCTTTAATTAAACTGACCCAAAAAGTATTTTTTTTAAATTAGAGAAAATTCAAATTCTTAAAATTATGAATGAAAGATGGGACATTACTATCTACCTCAAAGAAAAGGGGTTTTAAGGGAATACTGTGAGCAATGGCATGCCAACCAATTAGATAACAGATTAAATGAAAAAAAAAATGCTATAAAGACAAGCTATCAAAACTGACTCAAGGAAATCTACATAGGCCTAAAATAAGAGAATGAATTATTCATTTTAAAACTTCCCATAAAGAAAAGCCCAGACTCAGATGAATGACTTCATTGGTGACTTCTAAAAACAGTTAAGAGTGCCGGCCAGGGTGGCTCAGTTGGTTGACCATTGTCCCATGCACCAAAAGGTTGCCAGTTCCATTCCTAGTCAGGGCACATGCTGGGGTTGTGGACTTGTGGGAGGTTGTTACTCTCTTTCTCTCCCTTTCTCTAAAATAAAAACATATTTTAAGAAATAAAATAATATTGCCTTAAGTAAATAAATAAAAACATTTAAAGCCCTGGCCAGCCATGCTGGGCACCAAAAAGCTGCTGGGTCAGTTCCCTTCCTCTCTCCAAAAATTCAACAAAACAAAAAAATGTAAAAAAAAAAAAAAAAAAAAAAAAGAACACCAATCCTTCACAAACTCTCCCAAAAACAGAAGAGGAAGAAGAGGACTTTGTGGTAGTGAAAATGTTCTAAAAGTAATTATGATAATGGCTGCACAACTCTGTGAATTTGCTAAAACTGTCAGATTCTGTACTTAAGTGAGTGAACTATATGGTCTATGATTATAACTTAATAAAGCTGTTTGGGGAAAACAAAGAGCCTAGCTGGTGTGGCTCAGTGGGTGAGCATCAACTTATGAACCAGGAGGTCATGGTTCTGTTCCCAGTCAAGGCACAGGCCCTGGTTGCAGGCTCCATCCCCAGTAGGGGGCATGCAGGAAGCAGCCAATCAATAATTCTCTCTCATCATTTATGTTTCTCTCTCTCCTCTCCCTCTCTTTGTAATAAAAAAAAACAAAACACCATTTTAAAAAGCCAAAATTCTAGGTCACTTAAAAAAAAGAAGAAAAGAAAAAAGGAAGCCCTAACTGAGTAGCTTAGTTGGTTAGAGCATTGTCCTGATACATCAAGGTTGCGGGTTTGATCCCCAGTTCCATTCCTGGTCAGGGCACATACATGTAAGAATCAATCAATGAATGCAAAAATAAGTGGAACAACAAATAATCTCTCTACCATCCCCCTTCTTTTCTCTCTCTCTCTCTCTCTCTCTCTCTCTCTCTCTCTCTCTCTCTCGAAATCAATAACATAAATAAATACAAATTTGACCAGTCAATTATATTTCCAATAGGCTGCTTTCCTTTATTTTTATTTATTTACTTATTTAATATTTATATTGACTTCAGAGAGGAAGGGAGAGGGGAGAGTTAGATAGAAGAAACATCAATGATGTGAGAGAACCATTGATCGGCTGCCTCCTGCACGCCCCCCCTGCTAGGGATCGAGCCTGCAACCTGTGTATGTGCCCTTGACTGGAATTGAACCCTGGGCTTTTTTGTCCACAGGCCAACACTCTAGCCACTGAGCCAAACCAGTGAGGCAGGCTGTTTTCCTTTAAAAAAAAAAAAAAAAAAAAAAAGGAAGAGCCAATGTGGCTTTATGACCAGAGTCACATCCCGTCACTCTTGCTTTACTGTGTGCATTAGAAGTCAGTCACCACACCCAAAGGAGAGGAATCACGCTTTTCCTCTTGGAGTGAGGAATACCAAGGAATCTGCAAACATTTTATAAAACTATCGCAATAATAGAAGAAGACTGTCTGTCTTGAAAAGGCCCAGAGACTTCCAGAGCAGGACATGGGACTTCTTAGGCATGTCCGTGTTTCCTCCCAGGACATGCTGGTGTAGAAAGCCGGGGATTCCCAGGTTTTACGGCCATGGAGCAATCTCACGTTTTAAAGGAATTGATATGATGTGTGCATATATGCGTGTATAGAAATGGTCTAGTTGATGGCTTTTCTCTAAGGAAAAGTATTACAGGAATCCTTACCTTTCTGTGTTATCTGTTTCTGCAATGTTTGGATTTTCATAATAAACATGTGTTTCCTTGTAATCGCGTAAACCCCAACAGGGAGTCTCAGTGAGGCCAGTCTCCTTTCCCACGGGTGTCGCCAGCATCAAGGACCCCGGCATTTCCCACCAAATTAGCTGCTGCTGGAGAAACGCTCTTTTCCACTCTTTCAAACATCAACAGCCATCACACCCCTCCAGAGGCCTCCCAGGAGGAACACTCTGATGGTGACTTCAGGCAGGCAAACGAGTGCCAGGAGCTGGCAGCTTGAAGGCGTGCGTGATGTGGGGCAGGCCCGGCCTCCACAAGATCTGAAGAAGCATCTTCTCACAAAGTCTTCCCTGTTCCGCCGCCCCGAGCCACAAACACCTATCTGATTCCGCAGCGTGAGACCTTGCCAAGGACTTTCTAGTTGGGTGTGGCCCTGCTTTGGCCAGGGCACGTTTGGGGAACTTGTTGATTTTTGGAGCTTAGCTGAACTGCCCTGCCTAGCTCCGGCCACTCAGGTGTTTTCTGGGCAGGTGCCACGTGGGCCTTTGTGCCCGGGGCCACCTGCTGCTGGAGCGCAGCCATCCCTCACAGTTACTGAGCGGCCAAACCAGAGGCCCCACGACACTGTCAGACTTTTCCCCTCGCTGTCTTTCCAGATTAAACCCAATGTCCATTACCCCCATGGCAGGGGTCGTTTCTGGCCGTGGGAGCCAGCCCAATGTCCACAGGAAGTCAGCATGGACACACTGTGTCTGCCTGAGGCCGCAGTGCCCTCGGCCACCCACACACACACATCTGAGGCAGGAGGAGAGCAGAGCTGGGCGGCAGCAGAGGCGCATCTTTCTGCAGCCTGGTCACGGCAGAGAGCTGGCCTAGCCGGTCCAGGGGAGGCAGGGCTGCTGCTTGCTTAAAAGGACGTGTCTTTGACAGCAGGGCTTCAGGCCCTCATCCTGTAATTGCAGAGGGAGCACAAGCCGCAGGCTCTCTGCTCTCTCCTGGCAAGCTGGCCATGGAGCCTGCCACCCAGCCGTGGGACAGTGACATCTCAGTGTCCCCCCTGCCCCTCTGCTTGTTCATTTCCCTCAATAAACCCTATTTAATAACTCACCATGTAGAGCTGGCGTGTATATCCACATCCCCTTTGCAACAACAGAGGCCATCAAAGCCACGCCCTCCACGTATCTCAGTGGCACATGGTCGGAAAATGGAGTTTGGCCAGCGGCTTCCCTAGTCCTAAGCCCCACAGCTGTCACCTTGGCTGGGCTATCTGCACCCAGAAGCTGGGGTGCCGTGTGAGAAGAATCTAAAGAGGATGCAGGCCTCTCCTGGACATTCATATCGATGGAGCAGTACACTCACTCTTCACCACACCTGCTTTGACCTTAGAGGACAGACGGATGGTCCATGTTGCTCAGACTGAGGATGCCAGATGGACAGAAATTTGCAGTCCCATCAGCTTGTTCAGTTAGCTACTGAACTCCAGAAGTGTCTTCTAAGTCCCTTCCTCCCTGGCTCTGAAGCCAGAGCTGTCCCTTGCCCATCACTGTCACAGAGCCCAGTGCATTGGGCGGATCCCTCTCTTGAAGCTGGTGTTCCCTCCGCAGACAGCGGCATCTCAGAGGAATTGTGCTTTTCTTTCTCCCACTCTGCTGCTAGATTCCGCCAATAAACCTTATTCCATTATGGCTGCACCATGTGGTGTGGGTGGTGTGTCTGTGCCCCTTTGCATGACAGTTCGCATCGATGTCTCAATTATAACATTTAAAGTAAAATTCCCAAGGATTAGTGAAATTATCAACAAGGAACTCAAAATTTAAAAGTGGGGACCAGTGGCTGGCTGTAGGACAGTCCCTGTCCCCAAGGTTGTAAGGTGAGCGTCTTAGAAATGTTTCTCAGAACCGCACGCCCCCTTCTGGCCCCAGCCCAGCCTCCTGTCCCCATGTCCTCTGTCAGGAGGACTTCTGTGGGGTGGGGCTAAGGACCTCCTTTTCACTAAAGTCAGCGGGTGCTTCTCAGAGCTCGCCCTCTGGCACTGACCACCTCCTCCTTGATCCCTCCTCTGGGCTCACCACCCCATCCCTGCATTCCCTCCCAGCTCCCTAAAGGGGTTCTCTGCCCCTCCACCCAGCCTGGAAGCCTGGAGGTTGGTGTTCTGGAAACTGGACCACTTGCAAGGTTCATGGTTTGTCGGTCTGCAGCACCAGCTCCGCCCTCCTTTCTGCAACCCAGCCTGTGTGTCCTGCTGCCTCCAGGGCTCTGGCAGCCAAAGGGAGTGTCTACCTGCTGTCCTCCTCACCTGAAGGCCCCAGGACACAAGTAGAACCCAGAGCCGTGGTCTTGATATGGTCCTGCCTGTCCCTAAATGTGCCATCAGTTGTGTCCATCAGTGCCATCCTGCCTGTTTTTGTTTTGTTTTGTTTAGTAAAAGCTTTATTGAAATACTAGAGGCCCAGCACATGGATTCATGTACCCGTGGGGCCCCTCAGCCTGGCCTGCACCCTCTAGCAATCCGGCCCCCTCAGGGGATATCAGACTGCCAGTGTAGACTATCCCTGCAGGCCAGGCTCTGTGGGGATTGGATGTAGTAGTGCCCTAAGGGGCAGGTGGCCGTTGAGAAGCCGGAGCCCTGGCTGGGCGCTATGCCACTCCAGCTCATCCAGGCCCCACTACAGCTGCCGCCCAGCGCCTGGCACCCGAAGGTCAGCTGAGCAGCACTCCTGCTGTGGGAGGCACTGACCACAGGGGACAGCTCCTGCGTGGAGCATCTGCCCCCTCCCTGGTGGTCAGTGCACGTCATAGCGACCAGTTGTCTGGTCGCTCGGTCACTTAGGCTTTTAGATAGTCCACATAGCATACAACTCAGCCATTAGGCCGTAGCAGTTGTAATTAAGATGAGGTCATCCTGGAGCAGGAAAAGCCCTAATCCAATATGAGCGGCATCTTTATAAAAGGGGGAGTTTGGGCACAGACATGCACACAGGAAGAATGCCATGTGGAGATGAAGGCAGAGGTCAGGGCTATTGATGCTTCCGAGAGCCAAGGAACAGCAACGATGGCCAGCAAACCGCCAAAGCCAGTCCTGAGAGATGGAACAGATGCTCCCTCACAGCTCTCAGAAGACTCTGGCCTCCAGACTGGGAAACAATCCATTTCCGTTGTTTAATTCCCCGGTCTGTGGGCCCCTCAGCAGGGTCAAGGGCCCTGGCCTTCCTTTGCTGGGGCGTCCATGAGCCTCCTCTCAGAGCCTGAGTCCTGGGACTGAGCACCTGCTTCCTTACACCCCCCCTCCCCCGCCACTCTTTGCAGGAGACTGAGGCAGTAGGGAGTGGAGTGGGCGATGGAAGTGCTGGGGACCAAATGGACAGTCTTTTTTGGTCCAACCTCCCTTCAGGGAAGGGACCAGTTCCTCCTCTAACCCCCCACTGGGCCCCACTCTTCACATGGGCACCTGGTTGTCCCGTCCCACACTCACTTCCCTCGCAGGAGGCTGTGACAGTAGGTGGGGATGCTCTCAGTGCACCCCCATCGCCCTGGCCTGGGATGCTCTCCGTGATGCCACCGAGCCTTTGCAGTGACTGGTGGTGCTCATAGGCAGGAAGGAGAAGATCCAGGCCACGGGTGGCCGGCTACTGAAGTCACCAGTTACCAAACTCCTAGTCAAGTGCCTGAAACTAGGAGGGAGCCCTGGCCAGCCTGGCTGCTGACCGGGCTCCTCAGGAGGCAGCTCGGTGCCAGCCTTGCCCCTTGGCAAGCCCTCCTCCTTTGAGTGCTCCCCTGTGTGCCACCCACCCACCCACCCACCCAAGAGCCTGCATGAGTGGGAGGCATTAACTGTGAGGTCTCCTGTCTCATCACAGACAGCTGCATCTTGGCCTTTCTAGAATCTTCCCTGCGCCCCCCATCTTGGGGTGGGGAGGTGGGAGGGGGAGGAGAGGTGGTGGCGCTACTCACCTAGTGGAGACAGGGCCTCCCAGGATGGATAGCCTGGTGTGGACCTGGTGAGTGGCTGGGTGGCTAGCCTGAGGGACTAGGGTTCTGGGAGGGGCGGATCCGCTCTGAGCCTCCAGCCACCACCCATCTCCTCCCTGTCCCCTCCCTCACCCTCCAACGCACCTGCGCTGGCCGCCCCCCAAGCCCTGGGGGCAGCCGGCGGGCGGCGCTGGAAGATCAGAGGACTCGGAGGAGCTGGGCCCCGGGGAGGGGGCGGGGAATTTCCCCCCCCGCGCCTGCCCGGGCCTGTTGGCTCCCCCTCCCTCGCCGGGGGCCCGGGGTACAGCTGGGGAATTCCATCGCGCCGCGATGGCTCTGCGAGCCCGGGCCAGGGGGTCTTAGGGGAAGAAGGGGGAGGAGAGAGGGACAGGCTGGGACCGGGGCGCAGCTGCCTTCTTCCCCAGACGCCAGCTGCCCCTGCCTGTCCGGGCTGAGTGTCCACCATCCCGCTGTCTGGAGGGCTCAGGGCAGGAGCCGCACGTCCTCCGCCAGGCCGGGGGCGCAGGGGTGAGGATCTGAGAGGAGAGGGTACCCGCGTGTCTGCCCAGTGGCTGGTGCCTGGGCGGAGGGAGGGCGCGCGTTTCCGTTAAGGGTGCTTGTGAGCGGGTGTCCCGGGTAGAGCGGCTCGAGAGAGGGTCCTGTAGCTCCTTCCTTAGGGTCCTCTCCACACTCCCCCCCCCCCCCATAGAACCTGCACGCACCCTGAGAGGGGGAAGGGGAGGGGGAGAGGACAGAGAGGGGACGGGGAGAGGAGGAGGGGGAGAGGCGCGCTCCTGGACGCCGAGGGTCCCAGGCACGTGGGGAAGGCGCCCGGACCTGCTGTCTTCGCTCCCGTCTCGGGCGGGGCTTCCCGGCCTCGGGGATGGGGGGTAGGAGGGAGGGACCCAGGAGGGAGGGACCGGGAGGGACACCAGGGGGCGGGAGCAGCGCTTTGGGTACCTGGGCTGGGGAAACTCAAAGCGAGGTGCAGAGGGAGAAGGTGTGGAGCTCCCAGAGGGAGAGACGGGGAACCCTGGCCAGAGATCCCCCAGGAGGGACAGGGCAGAGAAGAGGCCTCCGGGGACAGAAACCCCCGGGGGGTATCTCCCCCCAGACGAGAGTGCTGCCCAAAGTGGGACGAGGATTCAAGGTCAGAGGACAACGCCTCCCCCCAGGTCGCCTTGGAGACCCCGACGCGACCCCGGGGTGGCGCAGGCCGTATGCAGGCCTGGGCGACCCCTCCCGGGTCGGGGGCGATGGGGGCAGGAGCCCCGCAGAGCCTCCTCCTGCTCCTCCTCCTCCTCCCAATGCCGTGGCCACGCCGGGCCTCCGCGGGGAGCCTGCACAGTCCAGGTGAGTCTCGGCCGGAGACCTGGGCCTTGGTCAGCGCTCCCGCTCCCGCCTCCCGGCCTGGCACCCGGGGCCGGGCCTGGGGCGGGTCAGAGCAGGTGGCGGGTGCAGCGGAGCCAGGCACGAGGGGCGCTGGCCTCGGAGCCAGGCAGGAGGAATTGGCCCCGGGTGGGGAGAGGGGGGCCTCGGGGAGTCGGGCGGGGAGAGGGGGGCCCTCGGGTTGTCGGACGCGGCTTCGGACCTCTGGACCTGCCGTGGCCGCGCAGGCCTGTCCGAGTGCTTCCAGGTGAACGGCGCCGACTACCGCGGCCGCCAGAACCGCACGGGCCCGCGCGGCACCGGCCGCCCCTGCCTCTTCTGGGACCAGACGCAGCAGCACAGCTACAGCAGCGCCCGCGACCCCCAGGGCCGCTGGGGGCTGGGGCCGCACAACTTCTGCCGGTGAGGGGCGGCCCGGGGCGGGGCCTGTCGGGGGCGGGGCATTTGGGGCGGGGTCTGTCGGGGAGTGCATTGGAAGGGGGCGGCCCGGGGGCGTGGTCTATCGGGAGGGTCTTGGGGTAGGGCAGGGTCTGTTGGGGGCGGGACCTTTGGGGCGGTGCGGGGGCGTGGTCTGTTAGTAGGGGCTTTTGGGCAGGGGCCAGGGCGTGGTCTATCGGGGGTGGGCCTTTGGAGTGGGGGCGTGGTCTATTGGGGACGGAACGTTTGGGGCGGGAAGGGGCGTGGTCTGTTAGTGGAGTTTTGGGGGGCGGGAGCGGAGTCTGTTGGGGGAGGGACTTTTGGGGCGGGGCCTCGTTGGAGGCGGGGCTGAGCCCCCTATTTAGGGCGTGGACCTGAGGCAGGGGCTGGGGGGCAGGTGCTGGGGGGTGGGAGAGGGTGGCGAGGAGGCTCTGTGGGGCCGGTCCAGCGGAAGGGCTCGGGGACAGGCCTTACCTGCGCTGGGCGCTCAGAACATTTCCTGACGCGGGTCCGGCCTCAGGTGCCCGACCTCTGAACCGGCCTGGGCACTGAGTGGCACTGAGTGGCACTGAGGCCTGGGCACTGAGTGGCACTGAGGGGCGCTGAGGGGCCGTGTGGGTGGGGCCAGGAAGCAATCTCCGGAGTGAGGGCCAGGCTCTCTGAGGGGCACCCACTAGGGTGACCGAGGGCCTTGGGGTTCAGAGACACAGCTGCTGTCCGGAGTGGGAGGACACGTCTCTGTGGACAGGAGTCACCACTTCTGCTTGAAAGCGGGGTGCTCAGGCCAGCCAGTGGCCGAGGCCCGGGGTGGCGGGGGCGCGGGTGGGGGAACACAGCAAAGGCACAGTCCTCAGCTGAAAACCTAAAATCTGCCCCCGGGACCCTTTCATAGCTCCCGGCCTTCCGCTCTGAGGATGGCACGCGGACGGGTTGCTGTACCCCGGGGCGGGGCGGGGCAGGGGGGGATTTTGGGGAGCAGGACCTGGACCCCCTCTCCGCCCGCAGGAACCCGGACGGCGATGTGCAGCCGTGGTGCTACGTGGCGGAGACGGAGGAGGGCATCTACTGGCGCTACTGCGACATCCCCACGTGCCACAGTGAGTGGCCCAGCGGGGCGGGGGGCGGCGGCCGCCGGGGTGCGAGGGGGCCGCCCGAGGGCCGGGCACGTCCGGAGGCGCCACACAGACCGCGTCCCGCCCCGCAGTGCCCGGGTACCTGGGCTGCTTCGTGGACTCGGGCGCGCCCCCCGCCCTCAGCGGCCCCAGCGGCACCTCCACGAAGCTCACCGTGCAGGTGTGCCTCCGCTTCTGCCGCATGAAGGGCTTCCAGGTACCGTCCACCTGACCGGGGCTGAAACCAACTCCCAGCTCTGACACCAAACCTTGATGCTGTGCCCATTGCTGGACCTCCAGCCCTCTTCCCACTCCCCAGCCCGACCCCCGGCTCCCAACACCCCACCCGCACCCCAGGCCCTGCCCGGCGTCACCCGCTCTGTCCCCCAGCTGGCGGGCGTGGAAGCTGGCTACGCCTGCTTCTGTGGCTCCGAGGGCGACTTGGCTCGGGGTCGCCCCGCGCCGGCCACCGACTGTGACCAGATCTGCTTCGGCCACCCCGGCCAGCTGTGCGGCGGCGATGGGCGCCTGGGAGTCTACGAAGGTGAGGAGTGGGCGAAATGTGGGAATGTGGGGCCCTGACCGGTTTGCTCAGTGGATAGAACGTCGACCTGCGGACTGAAAGGTCCCAGGTTCGATTCCGGTCATGTACCTTGTTTGCATGTACCTTGGTTGCAGGCACAACCCCATTGGGGGTGTGCAGGAGGCAGCTGATTGATGTTTCTCTTTCATTGATTTTTCTAACTCTCTATTCCTCTCCCTTCCTCTCTGTAAAAAATCAATAAAATTTAAATAAAATGTTTTTTTAAAAAAGAAATGTGGGGAATGTGGGAAGGGAAGGCGGAAAGGCTGGGGGCGGGGCCTGGCCGGGAGGAGGCGGGGCTTTGGCGCAGAGCTCCGCCCCGGGAAGCGGCCCGGGGGTCTCGGGTTCTGACCGCCGCCCCGCCCCGCAGTGTCGGTGGGCTCCTGCCAGGGGAACTGGACGGCGCCCCAGGGCGTCATCTACTCCCCGGGCTTCCCGGACGAGTACGGGCCGGACCAGAACTGCAGCTGGGCGCTGGGCCCGCCGGGCGCGGCCCTGGAGCTCACCTTCCGCCTCTTCGAGCTGGCCGACCCGCGCGACCGCCTGGAGCTGCGCGACGCCGCCTCGGGCAGCCTGCTCCGCGCCTTCGACGGCGCCCGCCCGCCGCCCGCCGGGCCCCTGCGCCTGCGCGCCGCCGCGCTGCTGCTCAGCTTCCGCAGCGACGCGCGCGGCCACGCGCAGGGCTTCGCGCTCAGCTACCGCGGTGAGGCCCCGCCCCCGGGTCCGCCCGGGCCCCGCCCCCCAGCCCGGTCCCGCCCCCCAGCCCGCCCCCTCACACCCCTCACGCCCCTCTCCACAGGCCTGCCGGAGGCGGCGGAGAACCCGGCGCTCCCCAGGGGCGCGGCCCAGACCCCTGCAGGGCTCCCCTACGGGACCAATGCCAGCTGCAGCCCCCGGCCTGGGGCTCCGGAGGCCACCGTGGGCGGTGAGGCTGGAGCTTGAGGAGGGTGGGAGCTGGGGAAGCAGCGCTCTCCCGAGCCCTGTCCTCACCGCCCCTGTGTGCCCACAGCCCAGGTCTTCTCAACGGTGATGGCCGTCTCCGTGCTGCTGCTGCTGTCGCTGCTGCTGTTGCTGCTGCTGTCGCTGCTGCGCCTGCTGCGCCGACGGTGCGCACGCTGGGGCAGGGCCTGCGGGTGACCCAGCTAGGCAGTGGGGCATCTGGTACTGGATGCCTCGGTGCCCAGGCGCGTGGTGGGGGCATGGAGAGAGAGAGTGTGTGTGTGTGTGTGTGTGTGTGTGTGTGTGTGTGTGTGTGTTGGGTGGAGACGGCGGTCTGGTGGGAAGCTGGGACCCAGATGAGGAATTGGAGCTGAAACTCCTAGGTTCTTGAGGGACCTTGGGTCTACACAGGAAATGCGGCCTGGGGTCGCAGGTGAAGCAGGATGGATACTGGAGGTGAGACTGGCTGGGTCTTTGGCTGATGCCTGCTCCCTTTCTAGGAGCTGTCTGCTGGCTCCAGGAAAAGGACCCCTGCCCTTGAGGCCTGCCCAGGGCTCTGGGAGAAGTTGGGCTGTGTGGTATCGCCGTCCTGGAGGGGTGGCGCTGCCCTGCCCCCCTGGGGACTCCCAGGCTGAGGGGCTAGCCTCAACTTACCGCCCGCTGAGCGCCTCCAGCCAGAGTTCCCTGCGTTCACTCATCTCTGCCCTCTGACTCAGGCCCCCCGGGGTCCATTGGATCCTCCAACAGAGTGATGGACACCCGGCACTCTGTCTCACACTCCACCGTGGCCTTCCCCCTTTTTAAGGGCAGCTCTGCCTCTGCTCTCCTCTCAGAGGTCAGACGTCGGACAAGAAGCCTCTGGTACTATTATTGGGAACTTGGCCTAACTCTAGGTGTCCAGATGGTCCAGACCCATTGGCAGGAGCAATCGGCTCCCTCCTCAGAGACCTTGACAAGGAGCTCTGATTTCAGGGTCTTTGAGCCCCTCTGGGGGTAGTCCTGCACTGCTGCCCTAAGTGAAATGTGAGAGTTCAACAAAAGTGGTCAAAAGACCAGACACAGACTTTGAATAAAGAACCTATTTTGGTATAGGGCTCTGCAAATTCTTAAGTGGTGGGAAATTATGGTGATGACACTGAAGCAAAGGGCTGGGTGTGTCCATGCAAATGAAGGGCGTTCCACGCAGTGTCTGGGCGCCAGCTGAAATGCAGAGGGCTGAGGATGGGCGGGCGGAAGGATGGGCGGGCGGGTCCTAGAGGGGGGTGGGAGGGAGAGGCAGGCTGTGAGGCTGTGAGCCAGATTAAGCGGAAGAAGCAATGCCTTCCTGGGCCCCACTTTAGCATGAACCCAGGCAGGGAGTGACCTTTCTTCCCTGGCTGCTTGCCCTCTGTCTTCCCCTTCATTTCCTGCCTGTCCTGGGCGGGGCGGAAAGTGTACATTGTGGGCGGTAATAGAGAGTGAGTTTTGTGGAGCTCAAAGAAGGCAGTCCAAAGGGTAGGGCCTCTCCCGACGGCGCCTGGAAAGTCAGGAACACCTGCAGGGGCCTGGACATCCCGGCGCGCCTTGCTGTGCCCCAGGGGAGCCAGGCCTGTGGATAGATCATCGCTGGAGCTGGAGCTGGAGTGCGGGCTCCAGGCCTGACCTGTCCGAACGGCCCGGGCTGGCAGCACCCTGGACAGAGCCCAGGCTGCCAGGGGGTGGCGTTGGGTGTTGGGCGGTGCTGGGAAGGGTGGGCGCCCAAGGGTGCGTTGACCTGGGAGCAGTTTGGAAAGCCGGGGCGCGCGCTGCGGGGCGACGCCAGGCGCTGCGGTCACTCTGGCAAAGCCGCCGGTTCCCAGGACGCTGGGTCCCAAGTCAACAGCCACTCCGTGCAAAGGAGACGGGGCGCCGCATACGTTATGCTAAAGAGGGTGCTGTCCCGGGAAGCCTCGGGGCGGGGCCTGCCCCACCAGCCACACCTATTGGCTCTCGCAGCGTCTAGATCTGGAAGCTCAGCGCGCGAAATGCTGGTGGGATGGCGGGGGTGGCTAGCTGGGGCGGAGCCTCGCGTCCCCTCCCGCGTCCGGCCGCACCCTTCCTCGGGGCTTCAGAGGACTCCCGGTCGCTGCTGCTGCTGCGGCGGGTGCTCAGTTCCTGCGGGCGCCAGCCCCGGCGGAGCGGAGCGGCCGCACTGCGCTCCGGAGGCCGGCGCGCTCCCAGCCTCCGCCCTGACGCGGGGGCGCGGGCCCGCGCTTGCGCAGCGCAGAAGGGGCGCGAGTGGGGACCCCCGGGCGGCGCGTGCGCGGACCGGGCCGCGGGCAGGCGCAGGGATGAGCCCCGCGCCGCCGCAGCCCCGCTGAAGAGGCCCGGGGTCCAGAGGGGCGCGGGCCGCCCGCGCTCGGCCAGGCCATGGCGTTCCTGGCCGGGCCGCGCCTGCTGGACTGGGCCAGCTCGCCGCCGCACCTGCAGTTCAACAAGTTCGTGTTGACCGGCTACCGGCCGGCCAGCAGCGGCTCGGGCTGCCTGCGCAGCCTCTTCTACCTGCACAACGAGCTGGGCAACATCTACACGCACGGTGAGCTGCGCCCGCACCCCGCACCCGCGGCAGCTCTGCCTGCGCCGGGCCGGGGGCCGGAAGGCCGGGGAGCGCGCCAGTGGCCAGATCCCGGGCTGCCCCTGCCCTGGCACCGCCGGGAGCCGCGGTGACAAAGCTGCCATTGTCCCGGACGGCACTCCCTGCTTCCGCTAACCCGGCGGGGGCCCCGGGCAGGCAAGGGAAGCGGAGTGGGGGATCGAGTCCACTTAATCCCTCTGAGCCCCGGGGAGAAGCAGCCCAGTGCACAGCCCCTCCGTAATCCTGGCCCCTGCGCATCTCTCCGCCCCTTCCCCCACTCCAGCCCGCACCCGTCCGGACCCGGGTGCTGGGTGTCGACTTGGGACCTGGGTGTTGAGTTGGGCAAGAAGTAGTCCAGGAGCAAAAGCCAGGCCCCGGCCCCTCCCCGCGCAGCCGCCCTAATACCCCAGCAGAGCAGCCTAGTCTTGGGGCTCCGCCTGGTGGCAACACCTCCCCCCACCCACCCCGCCCCACAGGCATGGGCCCCTCCTCCGCGCCCCGGGGAGCTGTGCTGACACAGCCTTGTACGCCCTTGGCCTGTCCTGGCCGAGGGCCCCAGAGCAGGCTGGGCCCAGCCTTGGTACCTATCCCACTGGAGGACTGTGGCCTGGCCAGGCCCTGTCTGTAGCGGGCAGTCAGCGGCCCCAGCCTGCAGTGCCTACCTTTGACCCCTGTGAGGGCAACGCTAGAGTGCCCGCAGGGAAAGGCAGGACGCCTGGGCTGGGAGGAACTGAGCTCCCAGAAGAGGTGCCTGTGGAGATGGAACAAACTGTCTGCCCCCTTTCCCTGCCTGCCTAGCCCCTTCTGACAGACAGAGGGCTCAAAGCCTTCACTCGTCTGGGCACTCTGGAGAGGACATGGGGTTGGGAGAAGCCAAGTTGCCCTGGGATCTGGTATCATTGCCCACATGTTCTTTTCAGAACTCGGCTTGAATCACGCCTCCTTCTGGCTTCTGCTGACAGAGGCGGGCTGGGGGTTTGGGCCGGTGCTTTCGGGGAGGTGATGTAATGTGGTGCAGGGGTGAGTGCCTGGGCTCTAGCCCACTCACCTGCGCGTTTACTCAGTTTTCTCACCTGCGAAGTGGGGATAATGACCTCTTCTGCTTCCAGAGCTATTGTGAGCCTGCTGCGTAAGTAAAGTCCCGAACACCCAGGCCTGCCTCTGTCCCGGCTCTGGCAATAGTTGTCTGTCACTGCTGACAAGTCCTGTCTTGCTCTCATTCCTTCCATGTTGTCTGTAGCTGTGGACACCCTGAGGGCATTGCCTGTCCTCGCTGCTGAAGCTGTGTGATGGATAACTGTTTCCCTCCCCCAGGGCTGGCCCTGCTGGGCTTCCTGGTGCTGCTGCCAATGACCATGCCCTGGGGTCAGCTGGGCAAGGATGGCTGGCTGGGGGGCACACACTGTGTGGCCTGCCTGGCACCACCTGCGGGCTCTGTGCTCTACCATCTCTTCATGTGCCACCAAGGGGGCAGCCCTGTGTACTCTCGGCTCCTGGCCCTGGATATGTGCGGGGTCTGCCTCGTCAACACCCTCGGTGAGCCAAGGGACGGGGCAGGGGGCAAGAAGAATGGAAGCTGGGGGGCAACGGGGGCGGGGGCAGCAGGGGACACTCAGGTGGAAGGGCAGGCAGTCCCCAAACTGACGTGCCCTCTCCTGCCTCTCTCCTCTGTACAGGGGCCCTGCCCATCATCCACTGCACCCTGGCCTGCAGGCCCTGGCTGCGCCCCGCCGCCCTGGTGGGCTACACCTTGCTGTCAGGTGTGGCTGGCTGGAGGGCCCTCACCGCCCCCTCCACCAGTGCCCGTCTTCGAGCGTTTGGTTGGCAGGCCGGAGCCCGCCTCCTGGTGTTTGGGGCCCGGGGAGTGGGACTGGGCTCCGGAGCTCCAGGCTCCCTGCACTGTTACCTGCGCATGGATGCCCTAGCCCTGCTCGGGGGCCTGGTGAACGTGGCCCGTCTGCCAGAGCGCTGGGGACCAGGCCGCTTCGACTACTGGGGCAACTCACACCAGATCATGCACCTGCTCAGTGTGGGCTCCATCCTGCAGCTGCATGCGGGCGTCGTGCCCGACCTGCTCTGGGCCGCCAACCACGCCTGTCCCCCAGACTGAGCCAGCCTGCCGGTCTCCTAGGGCCACCACCACCACCAGGCTCCCTCCTTCTGCTGGTCTGCAGGGGACTGGCTCCTTGGATGCCTCCCAGCTGTTCACCCACCCTTCCCTGTGGACTAGCCTCTCCTGCCCACACCTCGGAGCTCCAGCCTTCCAGGGCAGTGTCTTCCTGTGCAGCTAGGACACCGGTCCTTCTAAGGGCCAGTTTACCCTCCATGACCTGTGAGGGTGGGGCCAGAGGGACGCTGGGGTCTGTCTTGCTCTGACGGCTGGAGTCCTGCCAGCCCAGGGCCTCAGCCCCATCCTGCCCCTCTCAGACCGTTACATAAGGTACCTCATAGGTGGCTGGCCTGGCCACCAGTCCACGGCTCCTCCATCTTTTGGCCCTGCATGCCAGCCCACCCAGCAATGCCAGGCTCACCCACCCCCTCTTCCTTCTGTGCAGAATGGAGTGAGGGGTTTGGACAGCAGGACTACCCACTTATCCCAGGACCAAGGGGCAGGAGGCCTGCGGCTGCTGCTTTTCCCAGGCAATGCACAGATGTCAAGAGCCGAGTGGCCCTGCACCACTGGGCTAAGGGCCCACCCTCCACCTTGAGTGCCATGTTCTGAAGGCTCAACCAGCCCACCGGGGACACGCCTGCTCAGGAAACCTCTGGTCCACACAGCACAGGGCTCCCAGCTGCAATGTGCTGGCCAGGAGCTCTGCAGCCAGCGTCAGCCTCAGCCTCAGCCTCAGCCTCAGCCACCCCAGGGCCCTCAGACCCTGGGCGACGCCAATAAAATGGGCAGGAAGTGCTGTGTTGCCATGCAAGCAAGCTTGGGTGCTCCCAAGATTCAGGTATCTTTTATTAGACATGGCCAGGCAGAAGGGACCACTGGAGTGCCAGGGGACCTCAGCCTCCAGGAGGGGGGAAGAAGATAAAAGGTTAAAAGCACCGAGGCGGCAGTGGGCTCAGGTTGGGCCCAGCGAGTCCTCAAATAGGCTGAGGAGGTTCCGAGGCTCAAAGGAGGGGAAGGAGCCATGAGGGGACTCTGAGTCAATGTCACTGAGGTCCAGGTCATCCCTAGGGGGTAGGAAGAGAGAGAAATGACACTCAGGATTTGAAATGACCCTTCCCCCTCCCTACCTCTGACGCTGGACTACCCACCTCCGTGTCTGCCTGCTCTGGGGCGTGGAGGAGGTGCTCCTGGCAGCCCTGGCCAGAATGGCCTCTGGAGAGAACGAGGGTCTGCAGGGGTGGGTGAGACAAGCAGTGTCAAAGCGGTGGTGAGTGCATGGGAGGAGGCTGTGGGATCAGCACAGTCAACCCTGTCCCTGTGCAGGTTCCCACCTGACGGGCAATGAAGGGTGGTGCCCTTTGAAAAAATCATTCGCACAACTTTTAAAGTCTACCTGACCTCACTCAGAGGCACCTAGGCCCCTTTCAGAACCCAGGGGCTTCAGCTGAGCTGGCTCTGAAGTGAACCTGTGGTAAATGAAGCTTCTTTTGCACTTCACTTCCGCTATAAAGTGTCCCTATGACAACAGGGTAACGTTTTCTTTTTAATTCTCACTTGAGGATATGTGTGTGTTTTTATTGTTTGTTTGTTTTTGAGAGAAAGGGAAAGAGAAACTTCAATCTTCAATGTGAGAGAAACACAAATTGCCTCCCACAGGCACCCTGACAAGGGATGGAACCTGCAACCTATGTATCTGCCTTGACCAGAAATCAAAACCATGACCTTTCTGTCGGCATACAGGACCTGCTCCAACTAACTGAGCAGCCGGAGGACTACAGTGTGATGACCTTTTCATAGGGGGGTTAATGGTGTGATTTCTCCGGAGAACGGTCTGCCGGAGCATGTGGTTTCCCTTTGCCACAGTTTCTTAATTATAGCTTCTCGCTTGGCCAGCAGGCATCTGGGACTGAGGAATTCCTCCGGGATGGGGCTCGCCAGGCTCTGGGAACTGTCCCGAGAAGGACAACGCCTTGTCCTTGGGCTCCGGCGGCCTGGACTGCAGCTGGAGCTGCACCACCTGCCTCTCCCTAGAGTGGCAGTGCCAAGGTGTGAAGTTGCCATTCTGCTGCGCTCTGCACAGCAGCCGTCCCACGTTCTGAGCTCAGAAGGAACAACTGCATTCAAACCAGGCCAGGCTGTACCCCACCAGCCTTGGGGCCCTTCCCGGGCATGGTGGGGGCCAGGTTTGTGGGAGGGGTCCCCGTGCACCGCTACTCCCCCAGGAGCCTGGCCTCTGTATGGGGGTTGGCCAAGCTGGCAGCCCATCTCCCCACCCCCACCCTCCAGTCCCGGGCTCTCACCCACCCGATGCTGTCGTCATCCCAGTTGCTGGAGTGGCTGCTGTCCAGGAGGAAGCTGCAGGGGGGCGAGCCAGGCGGGGTGGCTGGAGGCCTCAGGGGCCGTAGCCAGCTGGCAGGGTGAGCCAGCCCATGCCAGAGCCAGCACAGCAGGGCAAGCAGGGCCTGTGGGGACAGGGGGCCAAGGGAGGCTGGGCAGAGTCCAGGGCCAGGAAGAGGGGAGGCCGTTACCTTTACCAGGCTTACCTGCCAAAGGGCCCACCCTCGACTCAGGGCTTCAGCAGCCATGTACCTCAGGACACTCCAGGGCTGTGGCTGCCTGAGCATAGGCAGGGCCAGCAGGGCCTCGGCTGTGGCCCGCCGCTCGGGATCGGGCTCCAGCATCATGGTGAGCACAGACCGCAGCTCAGAAGACAGGCCTGTCCACAGGGTAGGATTGTGTCAAAGGCGACCGTTCCCTCACACGAGTCTGTAGCACCATGTCCCCTCCCATCCTTGACCCTTCCCCTCGCCCCTACTCACTGGCAGTGAATTCAGGGGGCAGATAGCCCTGGCGCAGCTGCTGCCAGCCCTCTCCGCCATGGGGCAGCTCCATGTTGCATGCCACTTCCAGGATGGTGAGACCCAGACTGGGGGTGGGGAGGGAGGTGGGACAGAAGACAGACACGGTTAGCCTTGGGCCACAGATCCCAGAGCCCCAGGATCCCCTCAGAAGGGGGTGGAGAAGAGCCGGCAGGAGGGGAAGGAGTGGCGGGAGGGGAGTGGGGGGGGCTCTGAGAAGGCCTGGCAGAGCCAATGAGGGGAACACATTTATGAGGCATGGACCAGTGTTCAGTGCAGCCCACACACCACTGCGATGAGTCTGGCACCCCCGCCAGATGGACACTATGGTTACTAGTGTTACTACAGGATGCTGCAGACAGGGCTGGATAGACCGTTAGAGGCAGAGCAATGGTTACTGACACGGACCACAGAACCAGTGTCTGGTCCAGTCCCAGCTTTACCACCTGCTAACTGTGGACTCTGGGCAAGTCTCTTACCCCACTGTGCCCGTTCCCTTATAAATGGAGCAATAACAGTCCCTCTGGGGGGATGTGGTAAAGAGACAAGTGAATATAATAAAGTAACTCGAGATGATTTGCTGCTTAGCCAGCCTGACTGTAGACTACTCTCCACTGGTGGCTTCACCCTCTCAGGGCACTGTCTCCCAGCCTGACTCTGGGCTGATGGCATTTCCCTCCCTCTGCCGACTGCACCCCAGCCATGAAGGGCCTCCGTGGCCCAGCCCTTACCTGAACACATCGGCTGCTGTCCCATAGGCGCCCTGCAGCAGCTCGGGGGCCATGTAGCGGGGGTCTCCCTCCTGGGCCTCACCAGCTCCAGATCCATCCAGCTCCACCAGCAGCCCAAAGTCACCCACTTTGCAGCGGCCCCGGGGCCCCAGGAAGATGTTGGCAGGCTTGATGTCCAGGTGGACCATGCCCTGGCCGTGCAGGTGGGCCAGAGCGAGGAGGGTGTCCCGCAGGTAGCCCCAGACCTGGGCCTCAGGCAGGCCGGTGCCCCAGGCCTCGCAGTGCTGCTGCAGGCTGGGCCCACACAGCTCTGTCTGCAGGTACAGGATGCCGCCCTCCTCCCAGGCTCGCTCCAGCCGCACGCAGCATGGGTGCTGCCCCACCTTCTCGTGGCCACGGACCTCCGCCAGCTTTCGGGCCCGGTCCTTGGGGCCCCGGAAGGGGGACATGGAACGCTTTACGGCATAGAGCTGGCCGTCTTCCTTGGAGCGCACCTGGGAGGGAGAGAGTACTGAGGCGGGGCGGGAAGGAGCACAGAACGGCAGATTCTGTTACGATTTCACACGTGTGGAAGGCGCAGCGTGGCATCCACCTTAGAGACCCTTGCACACGCAATAGCGAGACCAGACAGACCTCTCCCCTGGGCACTGGCTCACTGGAGACCCAAGCACGGAAGAGACAGGGCTGACCTGTAGGCACTAATCTGGAGGGTCTCTCAGCTACTGTGAAATAAAAAAGCTGGCTTCAGAACACAGGCAGCGTGGGCCCCTGTGTAGAATATCAATGGGTTTGTTTGGAGATGTACGGAGAGAGTTCTGGAAGGAAGGACGCCCACCGGAGAAACCCAGTGGTGTGCGGTGGAAGAAGACCTAATCTAGGGGCCCACGTTGTTTGTAGTACTTGTGTAAGGAATACTGCCATTTTGAAGGAAATATTAATTAATGGAAAAAATATATATATATATTATTTTATTTTTTTAATATACCCTATTGATTTTTTACAGAGAGGAAGGGAGAGAGACAGAGAGCCAGAAACGTCGATGAGAGAGTAACATCGACCAGCTGCCTCTTGCACACCCCCTACCAGGGATGTGCCCGCAACCAATGTACATGCCCTTGACTGGAATCGAACCTGGGACCATTCAGTCCGTAGACCGATGCTCTACCACTGAGCCAAACCGGTTTCGGCGGAAAATATATTTTAAGAAAGAAAAAAAAAGGTGGTGCACAGGGTATAGTCTAAGTATCCGCGGCCTGGGGGAGGAGGGGGCAGGGGCAGGGTAAGCACTGCACTCTGGGCGCTGGCTCCGGGGACCAGGCAGAGCTTGCCAAGAGCAGCTGGCTCCAGGGTGGGAGGAGGTGGAAGCCAGGAGCCACTGCCAGGCTCCGGACAAAGGGGGAGTGTGCACCGAGGGGGCCCTCGGAGGGGCCTTGTGGGGGTTTCTGAGAAAGCAGCCAAGTCAAACCCTGAGGAGGGGTGTCTGTCAACTCAAGAGAAGTGGCTGTCAGGAGAGAAGGGGAGCAGGCTGCCCAGGATTCTATCCCATCCAGGCAGAGGGAGGGAGGCACGGCGGCCCCCCCTACAGGCCCATGGCACTGTCACTCCACTCACCTTGAAGACCTCTCCATAAGAGCCACGGCCCAGGCGGCCAAGCCTCTGGAAATTCTGTTGGAAGAAGGACTCCGGCTGGCTTGGGTCGTAACTGGGGCTCTGCAGGGTCCCAGAGTCTTTGCCTTTGAATGACACTTTCCGGGGTTGGGGCTGGTGCCAGCCTGGGGTCCGAGGGAAGAGGCGACTGATGGGGATGCTGCCCTTGGCAGGGGGCCGGGGCGGAAGGCTCTGACTGAGCCCCCTGGGCCTCTTGAGGGAAAAGCCGGGCTCTGCATGGCGGAAGTAGGCTGGGACTGGGGTGGGGGTGCCGCTCAGGGCTGGTGGGGTGCCCTCCGTGGGCACAGGCATGGCCGGCACAGGAGGCACCGAGAGGCAGAGTACAGAACAGCAAACAGTTCCTTGTCCTATGGCCCCAGAGAGGCTGCGGAAGGAAGCCGAGTCTACTCCTCACACATGTTCTCCTTTAACACGGAGGCTGTGGAGACACGAGCACCTGGTGGGACAAGGCAGAGGACAAATATACACACCTGCACACGGTCAGTCGTCTGTACCTGGAGTCCTAGAAACACGAACTGAAATGCATGGGACCATGTCCCAGAGGCCCCCACAATCCAGCAGAGGGCAAGTCAAGGCAGGTTCTGGAGCCAGATCCCTGTCTTGTCACAATGCTTTTTGACCGTAAGATACGCAATCTCTTCCAAGACTGTAAGGGGGAAATATTCACACAGGCCCACACTCCCTTATCTCTGATTTCAAAGTATTAAAAGGTCTGATTCCAAAAGTCTCTTGCTCTCTTTTTCATAGTTGTGACCCTAACACTCATGTCATGGAGCTCTACTTTCCATGTTGCAAAGGCTAAATTCCAGCCGGCTGTAGCCAGAGGCCAGGGCCCCCTCCTCCCACCAGCCCCTACGCAGAAGGCGAAAGCTCTGCCTTGGGTCCAGCAGGTGAGGAATACAGCCCCATCGCTCAAGCCCCAGCTCATTCCTAGGAAGGAGGATCCGCACTGGGCGAGGCAAGCTGAGGCCACAGGCTGCCGCCCCATCCTAAGGCAGCGGTGTCACTCAGGGAGACGGGCTTAACTTCCCTGCCTGCAGCTCCAGAGCTGTAGCTCACACGTTCTGCCTTGTGGGGGAGGTAGGTTACAAAACAGACAGCACTGAATCTCTCCCTATAAACAAAGAAACAGACTTTATTTGAAACAGAATACGGGAAGTTCAAGTTTAATGGTATTCTAAAAAAATCAGTAACAGAATGGCTACCATCAACAAATCAACAAATAACAAGTGATGGTGAGGGTGTGGAGAAAAGGGAACCCTAGTACACTGCTGGTGGAAATGCAGACTGGGGCAGCCATTATGGAAAACAGTATGACATTTTCTCAAAAAAATGGAACTGCCATTTGACCCAGTGATCCCACTTCTAGGAATATATCCTAAGAAACCCGAAATGCCAATCAGAAAGAATGTACGCACCCCTATGTTCATAGCAGCACAATTTAAAATGGCTAAGATCTGGAAACAGCCCGAGTGCCCATCAGCAGGCGAGTGGATAAAAGCTGTGGTACGTTTATACCACGGAATACTATGCAGCTGTAAAAAAAGGAAGGATCTCTCACCCCTTGAGACAGCATGGAGGAACCTGGAGAGTATTATACTAACCAAAATAAGCCAGTCAGAGAAAGACAAGTATTACATGATCTTACTCGTATGTGGAATCTAATAAACAAAATAGATCTAGAGACGTAGAAACATAAAACAGACTGGGGAATCTCAGAGGAGAGGTGGGGGAGGATGGATGGGCGGGAAGAGATCAACCAAAGAACTTGTATGCATCCATGCATAACCCATGGACACAGACAATAGGGTGGTGAAGGCCTGGGTCTGGGGGCAGGGGCAGGCTAGGAGAGGTCAATGGGGGGACTGGGCAGGGGAGAACATGCAATACTTTCAACAACAAATATTTAATTTAAAAATCAATCAAGGTTTGGGTGGTACACAAATAGGCCGAGGCTGGTGCCTCCATTATTACAACCAGGTAATTTACCAGAGAGAACCAGGTACAGAGATAGATCAAAAGAAGCTTCCTGGGGTCCGATCAAACATCAAACACTGAACTCAAAAGCTATCCTGTTAAAGGAGCTAAATTTAATTGGACCAGTCAACGGAGCAACTGATGCTCCAGGACAAAAACAACAGAGAAGACAGCTAGCAATTGGGAGAGCCCAGCAGGTGGGTGTGATTAGGGAAAGCAGTCAAAGATAGCCCCCCTTAAACTCTCAGGACCCCAGGTTGGCTGTGCAGATGTTCCAGGTTGGGTCCTCTGAGGAGCCATGTCAGAGACCTCATACTGCAGAAAGACATGTTACCACAATGGTCCAGTCAGTCACTAAACAGATAAGAAAAGAAAAGAAAAAAAATCACAAGCCCTGGGGGGGGGAGGAGCCAGTACACACAGTTGCTAAAATGTGTAAAAAAAAAAAAAAAAAAGTCCAGTGTTTGCTTGGTTGGCTTGGTTCAGTGACCTATGAACCAGGAGATCATGGTTGCAGGCTAGATCCCCAATGGCAATCAACAATTCTCTCTCATCACTGCTGCTTCTATATCTCTCTCACTATCCTTTATTCTCTGAAATCAATAAAAACATATAAAAAGTAAAATATCCAGTTTTGCTGGCTGGTGTGGTTCAGTGGTTGAGCATCAACCCGTAACCCAGGATGTCTCAGTTGGATTCCCCGTCAGGGCACATGTCCAGGTTGCAGGCTCAATCCTCAGCAGGGGAAGTGCAGGAGGCAGCCAACCAATGATTCTCTCTCATCATTGATGGTTCTATCTCCCTCTTCCTTCTAAATCAATAAAAACATATTTGTTAAAAGTTTACCAATCTTTAAAAAAAAAAAAAACCACCAGTTTTTGATAAAAAATTACAAGATGTGCAAAACATAGGAAAGTGTGACCCCCACACAGGAAAGATAAAACAAAATAAAAGGCTGGTTGGTTTACAGCTTCATCCTGATACACCAAGGCTCCAAGTTCCATTCCCAGCCAGGGCACATCCCCACGCAGGGAACATACAAACCAATGAACACAATAAGTGAACAACAAATTGATGTTTTTCTCCCCTTTTCATAAATAAAATAATGTTTAAAAAAATAAAAGTAAAAATATCTTTAAAATTTAAATAAAAATAACAGGCCACAGAAACTACCTGTAAGAAGGACTAGGTGTTAGATTTAACAAAAAAAGACTTCAAAGTAGTCTATAAATAGGCTCAAAGAACTAAGCTAATAGTTCAATTTGGCTCATGGGATAGAGTGTCAGCCTGTGGATTGAAGGGTCCTGGGTTCAATTCTGGTCAAGGGCATATGCTCGGGTTGTGGGCTCAATCCCCAGTGTGGGGTCTGCAGGTGGCACCAATCAATTATTCCCTCCCATCATTGATGTTTCTATCTCTCTCTCCCTCTCCCTTCCTCTCTGAAATCAATAAAAGTATATATATTTTTAAAAAGTAATTGTATGAAACAGTATGTGTGTATTGTATTGTTAGGCATGTAACATAAAGAAATGTGATATACTTCGAATAACGGCACAAAGGAGGCGGGAGAGAACAGAAATGACTCCACGTGGCAACTTGAACAAATGGAGAGAACCAGACACTGGAAATAAGAATGTCAATAAAGCAAACATGATGCACATAAACTTCCTTTCCTTTCTTCCCTCAGCTTCTTTAGGCAATTAAAGACAACCTAAGTAGAGGGTGGGGCAAAAGTAAGTCTACAGTTGTGAGTATGCAAAATAGTTTATTCTTTTTTTATTTTTTTAATTTCTTTATTGATTAAGGTATCACATATTTGTCCTAAAATATTTTATTATTATATTATTATTTATGAATTATTGTATTATTTTCCATACAAACTGTAATCTTATTTTTGCCCCACCTGTAAATGGAAAGATATTACATGTTCATAGATCCAAAGATTTACCATGGATAAAATGGCAATACTCTCCAAACTGATCTACAGATTCAGCACAATCCCTATTAGAATCCCAGCTGGATTCTTTGTAGAAATTGACAAGCTGATCCTAAAATTTATATGCAAATTCACTAGACCCAGAATAGTCAAAACATTCAAAATGAAGTTGGGAGGATTCTATTTCCCAATTCCAAAACTTACTACAAAGTTACAATAATCAAAACAATATTGTATTTACATAAAGATAGACATATAGATCAATGGAATAGAATTGAAAATTCCTAAATAAACCCTCACATTTATAGTCAATTGATTTTGACAGAGTGCCAAAACAATTCAGTGGGAAAGAATAGTTTTCTCAACAAATGGGACAACTAGGTAAAACTCATTTGGCAATAAATAAATAAATACCTAATTTAGCAGAAAAATATGGTCTGACCTACCTTTCCTCCCTAAGTGTGAATATTCATATATTTCTTGACAAAAATATTAATATGTTTGATTATTGAATGATGTCCCAGATCCATGGGTGGTGTTATATATAAATGTTATATGCACCCTATTAGCTTTCTAAAATCTGACACATTTTGAATTCCAAAACACTCCTGGCCTCAGGATTTGTGGACCTGTAATAATAATCTCAGGGAAGGCTCAGCCTCATGTCTGGCATGCAGATTCCTCAATAAATGCTGTTAAAAGACACACAAAGCTACTGAGGCCCCACAAGTAGCTTTGTGCATTGGGCAGAGAAGGTTTTTTGAGTTGCTATAATGTTGTAATTGAAACAAAAACAAGAACACAAAAGGAGGGGGATTTAATTTTGAGAGGAAGTCACAGTGTATCAAAAGGTGACATACCCACCATGGCCAGTGTGGCTCAGTTGGTTGGGCATCCCTCCCTGCACTGAAAGGTTGCTGGTTTGATTCAGGTCAGGATACATAACTGGTGGCAGGGTTGATCCCCTGCAGGAGGCATGCAGGAGGTAGCCAATGGATGTTTAGCTCTCATCTCACATCCATGTGTTTTTTCTTCTCTCTCTCTCCCCCTCTCCCTTCCTCTCTCTAAAAAAAAATAATAATAAAATTTAAAAATCTATTTAAAATGTATTTTTTTAACAGGATGCCATACCTAACAAGGGGGGAGAGGGGGCAGTCAGTAATTGAAACAAGAAGTGTGCCCTCCAGTCCCTGAGTGAGGCCTGAGGGAGGGTCCCCCATGGCGCCTCCCTAGAAGACTCACCCTTCCTCTGCCTCTTTCAGCTCAGGAATCCCACTCCAGGGTTCCTCAAAGTGAGGAACTGGGATGCCAGGATCCCCCGGGGCCTCCAGACCCAGTCCTGTCACATTCAGAGCCATGGACAGCCTCATCTCAAACCAGTTCTCAGACCATTCCAATGCCCCCTACATCCTAGCGCCTCTGGCCTGGCCCAACAGCTTTTGGGGTGGGGCAGGGTCCGTAGAAGGAGCCAGGCGAACCCAGGGCGGCCCAGCCTGGTTTCCGGGATCAGCCAGAGGCCGCCCCTCTCACTGGGAGGACATATTTGCTGACCGGTCTTCCGCGCTGGCCTGCGAGCCGCCCCCAGGCGGGGCCGCAGCCACCCGTCCCCGTGCGCGCCGGGCGGCCAGGCGCACAGAGCGGGGGGGACCGGCTGTCACGCAGGAGGGGCTGTGCTGCAACGTGGGTGGGGCTTTTCCTGGGGAAGGACAAGTACGGCGTGGGCAGGCACCCCTTTCCTGTGGTGCCCAGATGAAAGGGGCCAGGGGGCTGAGGAAGGGAACAGGAGCAGAGGGGGGGCCCGGAGCGGAGGGAAGGGGGGGGGCGGGGCCGCCGGGAAGGGGAGCTGGTCGGAGGGCGACGGGGGAGGAGGAGGAGGAGGAAGAGGCTGACCCCGGGGAGCCCTCAGAGGGCAGGGGGCGCCGCAGCAAAGGGAAGCAGAGGGGAGGGAGGTCCGGCCGGAGAGCGCGCCGGGCCCGGCCGGGGCTCACCTGGAGCGGGCGGGCGGGGCGCAGCTCCGCGAGGTCCCAGATTCCGGGTCCGCAGGGGCCGCGGGGAACCCTCGGGGCGGCCTGGGGGACCGGGGCTGCCGTCGACAGCTTTCCGCGCCGGGACCGGAGGACCTTCTGGCGGGGGAACGGCCCGTGAACGCCCGCGGAGCCAACTCGCGCCAAAAATTCCAAACCGGCCTCGAGTCCCCGCCCAGGAACGCCTCTTCCCCCGCCCCATCCCCGCGGAGCCCATCACAGGCTGCCAGCCTTCCGGGCCCGCCGCTCACGTCCCCGGAAGCTCCGCCGCCCCGCCCCCGAACGCCCCGCCCCTGCCCGCCCCGGTCCTCA